GTATGACGTCATGCAACAGGCAGTACAGCTAAATTTTACTAACATATGAGCAGAAGCCTTACTCATCAAAGCATTTCTCCTGTAAATCAGCAAGGAATTGATGATGCTCCTCTACTCCAAGCACACAAATTAACTCTGTACAGTGAACAATGCCAATACAATAAAGGTGCAAAGATTTCTTGCAGAATTATTATTTTGGGCTACAAGGGCATGGAAGAGAAAACATGCAATTTAGACAATAAATTGAGTAAGACAGAATTCTCAATCAATGTTTTGAATTTACCAATCTGCAATTCAATCATTTCTTCTGTACAGCTCTTCCTCTGTATTATCTGTATTCTCAGAGTCTACATGCTCTGACCCAGAATAGAAAGTGGATTTATATTCTCTTACAGTGGGCATATGAATATGAAAAAAAGCTATAAAATCATATTGATATATTTGCTTTCCTTGCATCCAGGCTACAAAGAATATTGACTATGTCTCTTTGTCCCAAATTTTCTATGGTCTTAATAATAGATCACGGCAATCATTCTGAAATGTCAAGTTTTATAACCATTAAAGCATAATGCACCAAATGTGGCAAAAACCACGATGATAAATCCTTACCACTTCTGTCATCAGTATATTTGGTTGTTAAGTACTCCTCACAAAGGATATATCTAATGCAAAAGTACAGAATGCTATAATTAAAGTAACTGTAACAATGCATTAATTAATTGTGCTGCTGAATGAGCAGTATTTCACTTCCCTTGTAATTTAAAACTGCTGGGCAAGTTGTTCTATCACTGCACCTGGCCCAACACTATCAACATGTGGAATGCTTAAAAACATCTGGAATCTATTAATGCACAAAATCTAGCATCCTCCCCAATCTGGCTTCATGCCAAGAAAGCCTGCATGAAAAGAAGCTGAAAATTCATAATGTTCTGTTTGGTGGGAAAGGAGGTGCAGCAGAAAAACACTTTGCTCAACAGCTGATCAGCGAGATAAACCTTTTCAAGAAGAGCTCTGTAGGGATGGTCCCAAAGGAAGGTTGGGTGATAGAAACACAAGCAGCACTCAGTTGTATGCATCCAACTGAGCAATGGATAAGGATGGAGAATAAATCTGTGTCTATGAATCTATAGACATTTGAAGAATTCTGCCATTATGTACAGCTGTAAAACAAAAAGCTCCTACTCAAAAAATTAATTTACAAAGTAAAAGAATTATTAACATACATTTTATTATTTAGAGGCAAATGAAATCACTTCAAATTTAAAAGGTATTCTACAAATCTGATATAGGGAATCCTAGATTTATAACCGTTAGTTTATCAATCATTCAATGTTATGACAGCCGTGAAATAGCAATGATTGATTCTCGCACTTATGACCATCGTAGTGCGTCTGTAGTCATGTGATCACGATTTTGGCACTTGGCAACCAGCATGTGTTTACAACCATTACAGCATTCCAGCAGGGGTGAAAACCAGCAGGTTCTGACAGGTTCTGGAGAACCGGTAGCAGAAATTTTGAGCAGTTCGGAGAACCAGCAAATACCACCTCTGGCTGGCCCCAGAGTGGGGGGGAATGGAGATTTTGCAATATCCTTCCCCCAGGAGTGGGGAGGGAATGGGTATTTTGCAGTATCCTTCCCATGGAGTGGGGTGGGAATGGAGATTTTGCAGTATCCTTTCCCTGCCTTGCCCACTAAGCCACACCATGCCATGCCCATCAAGCCACACCCACAGAACCAGTAGTAAAAAAAAACTGGATTTCACCACTGCATTCCAGGATCGTGCAATTCTCATTTACAACCTTCCTAGCAAGCTTTCAGCAAGCAACGTCAAAGGGGAAACTGGCAGGGAAGGTCACAAATCGCAATCATGGGATGTCTACCTTAATGACCACTGTTTGGATTTGCTTAATGATTATGACAAAAAAGGATAATAAAATTAGGTGCAATCGTGTGATGCCTCAATTAACGACCACAGCAACAAATTTTCCAGTCCCAATTGTGATTGTAAGTTGAGAACTACCTGTGTTCAAATCTTTAAATGCTTTAGACACATCTACAGTTTCGGTCCTAAGACAACTGCAACTGTTTATTAAAAGGATTCCAGTGTAACTCTAAAACCTAGAATAAGCATGGAGATAGTGGAAATACATCAGGGGTGGGTTCTACTTACCTTTATTATCGGTTCGCAGCGGGGCTGCGCACATGTGCTTACTTTGCTTATGTGTGCGCGCGCTCTTCTGCGCATCCACAAAAGCGTTTTGGTGACGTCGGAGTCAGTGGGTTGGGCCTCCTGCCGGTTTTACTACCGGTTCTATAGAACCGGTGCGAAGGGGGGGGCAACCCACCACTGAAATACATCAGTGAGCATTTCCAGTCAGGTGTCACACTAAAGTAAAATCCATTGGCAGAAATTCAGATTTGCAGCAAGCGCAAATACAAATTGGGACAGATTCAACCTCCTCTCACTGATGGAATATAATCTGGAAATTCTCTCAGCTAAACTAGCATATGAACAAAGTGCAAGAGCATGGTCAGAAAACTTCTTTGCTAATATTGGCATCCTGTGAAATACCCAAGCTTGCCATTTTCATTTTGTAAAAACTCAGTCACAGCTTACTCGCTTTAGAAACAGCATCATTTTATTCGAAGTTTCTTCTCCAAGGAAACTACACGCTTTCTAAATTACCTTCCAGTCAATTAGGTGTTTTTCATCTCTGGTACGTTATAGGAACTCATGATTCCACACTAATGTCATCCCATTAAAGCCGAACACTTAATTTACAGCAAAAGGCAAGATTTGTATATCAGACGATGTATACACAAATTCTGATTGTTAATAGCAATAGCAATTGCATTTAGATTTATATACCACTTCACAGTGCTTTACAGCCCTCGCTAAGCGGTTTAAAAAGTCAGAATATTGCCCCCAACAATCTGGGCCCTCATTTTACTGACCTTGGAAGGATGGAAGGCTGAGTCAACCTTGAGCCGGTAAGACTTGAACTACCAAACTGCTGGCAGTCGACAGTTAGCAGAATTAGCCTGCAGTACTGCATTCTAACCACTGTGCCACCACAGCTTTTAAGATTAATGTGATGGCTGTGACACTAGTGCTCTATGTACTTCTTAAGATGCTCCAATTAATTCATTTTTAAAAATACTATACATGCGTGTATATGAGCCCATCAGCGGACAAGCCAACCCTTGAAATTTTAATCAAAATATCATGAAAAATGACTCACCTGCTAATAAACCAAAGCTCAAAATTTTCATATTTTAATTTTTACCAATGGTACGTTGTTTCATTGTAATTTGGTTAAAAAATTGAAGGTCAGCCTATCCATGGGTGGGTTTATATACGAATATATACAGGATATGTGGATACTTTTAAAAAGTACTTTGTTGTCACATATACTCACAGATAAACCCATCTGTTGATAATCCTAATTCAATTTTGGGAGTATATTTTGACACCTAAAATTTTTGGCTTATCTGGAAATATATATGATATATTATTCTAAGCAACCTTTTCAAAATCTTTGAACAAAATCATAGGATTTGTCTTCAGTTCAGCTACTGAATTCAACAGGATTGTGTTCTATTCTGTCAAATTCTGTCAAATATTCTGACAATAGAGATTATATTGTCTCTTATTTGTTTGCTTGAGCGATGAAATGTCTTATATTAATCTTCACTATTTAAAGCGTAATTAAAAAGAAAGTCACTATCTTATATAATCTTTTTGAATAATATGAAGGAAAGCTCACTTTGATGCTACCAGAAAGGCTATATTATCATGGAATATATACCATATTAGAATTTCTCTGCATTTAAAACCTAATGTGAAAATATGGTTTGTAATTATATCAAAATAATTTTTAGCTGTAGCTGGACAGAACTGGGCCAAAAAAAAAAGCATTAAAAAGTACATCATGTTTTAGATACTATATGCCATCCTATAAATACTTAGATTTTCGGCAAAATTAAAACTGGACAAAATCCAAAGGATCCTCTTTAAGAGTCTGAAACAAATTGCTTTCTGTGTTTTAAAAGGTCAAAACGGCCCTGGTGGCTCAGCAGACTAATAGCATTGTGATTAACACCAGCTGTCTGCAATTACTGTAAGTTTGAATCTCATCAGGCTCAAGGTTGACTCAGCCTTCCATCCTTTCTAAGGTAGGTAAATTGAGGACCCAGTTTGTGGGGGCAATAAGATGACTTTGTATAAATATACAAAAGTATGAAGGCTATTGCTTAATGCATTGTAAGCTGCCCTGAGTCTCCGGAGAAGGGCGGCATATAAATCAAATTTAAAAAAGAAAAAAAAAATCTATACATATCTAATGGCAGACAATACATATGAAGACCAGTCTAGTTTTACTCAGTCCTTCTGCTAATATTTGGCTGCTTGCCACATGGATACTCCTACTCAGCCTAGATAATCCTGAAACCTCCATCACTGACAAACTGTTAGCCTCTTCTGTTTTCCGAATAAAGAGCATATTAGCTCATACATATTAGCTGTATGAAGTTCTATCAATGAGCATGAGAAATTAGTGCTGAAAACTAGTGGCCCCCAACCTTTTGGGCACCAGGGACCGGTTCTGTGGAGAGAGGTTTTTCCATGCGCCTGAGGGGGCGTGGTTTCATGTGCTGCCTGCATCCTGAGGATGGAGCTTTGCTTGTTTGCGTGGCCCGATTGCTGGCATGCCATGGCTCAGTGCCAGTCCATGGACCAGGGTAGGGGGCCTCTGTTGTAAGCAATTAAATTCCCAGTGTCTTCTTTTTTGATGAAAATTTAATGTACTAATAAAGCATAGCAACTGAGAAGAAAGAATATGATAAATCACAACTATGACTATATTTTTATTCTCTGTTGTAATAATTACATACAGTGACCAGTTTCTACTTCGATTCCAGTATCCCCCAACAATACCAGCAATAACAAAAGAAATATAACAAAATTCACAGCAAACTTATAACTGGCAAGTACTCACAGCTGAAGATGCTTGGAGGTGGATGTTCAGTTACAAGTAAGCAGTTCTCTTCATCGCTATTATCCCCACAATCATTCTGTTCATTACAGAGCAGTGAGGCACGATATAAGCATTTGCCACTGGTGCAGGTGAATTTGCACTCTGAAAAGGTACACAATAAAAGGAAAGCACAAATGAATACAATCTATTTTCTGTTTCATTGTATATCAGATCTGTAGTACAACATATTCAATACACATGTAAGATATGACAGTAAAGGACTTTTCTACTCAGTTGATCCTCGAACAGGAATGTTAAGTACAATACAATTTAATAATAATTTAAGTGGCAGAAGGAATGTCAGCATAACCATATTCATCACAAATACATTAGACATTTACAGTCAACAATGTTGGATACCCATACGTGAGTAGCACTTATTTTCCTGGCTTGTTGGTTGACTTCTCCCTATGCATTCAAGAGTTGTTTAAATGTCTTGCTCACATTTATTACTTGCTTAATGACTAATCATTCAGTAGCCATTCAATACTGCAAGGCCCAATGCAGACCACATGGGAGTTGGAGCTGGGAGAGCCAAGATCATGATCATTGAGTGGGTGGATGACTCACTTAATGACCATTAGAAGAGTTGGTCTTAGACTTATAATAACTCTAAGTCACTTTAAATATACACTAATCAGCATACATTAAAATTAAATTTTGTTGCACACAGTTCTTAAAGGGTTACCATCTCCAATATGCATTACATAAACATGACAAAATAAATAACATAACATAACATAACATAACATAACATAACATAACATAACATAACATAACATAACCACATCAGTGGTGGGATTCAGCCGGTTCTCTCTGGATTGGGTGAACCGGTAGCAGCGACTGCAGGAGGCTCCGCCCACCCACCCATACGCATGCACAGAAGGCTGTTTAACTCACCAAAGAGCTTTTCTGTTTAAGGAAGGCCAATTTAAACGGTGGGCAGACCCCACAACTTCTATTGTTTCATACAGTATATGAAATTCAATAAGCATGGAAAGCTCTTTTCATTCCATGCCTATTAAGTAAGCTTCTCATTCATATGGAGTTCTCAGTTGTTTTACAATTTCTGCTAACCATTCTCATTACTGTATTACTAAATTTGTGTTTCAGGATTTTTCTTTATTTTAAAAGTTTTCACACCTGAGAGAGACTAAAATCAGAAGATGAATGGTAGAATTTATTTAACAGAAAATGTTCATCATAAATATATGCTGTATATGCATATAAAAATAAACCACAGTTTTTTTAAAAAAAAATGCAGCTGCTTTTAAACCTATTTTTCACTTCAGAAGCTTTGTGTTAGAAATGCTAGTATATAATGTATATTATATTTGAACTGATCCAGCATAAGCCATGTCTGGTACTATATCTGTTTGGAACATACTCTACTTTGAAAAGATATAATTATTAGTGGCTCTACTAATCTTTTTTTAAAAAAAAAAACAACTACAAAATGTTTCAGCTTTTATATGTAATCTGCAATAATCCATCCAGGACTATGAATTTGCCCACTTTTTAAACAATCCAGATGGCAATAAACTGGAGAATCACAATACAGACAGTACACTACTTACAAACAGGTTAGATTAGATTCTGAGAGGTAGTTCGTAAATCTAGTTTGTTCACAAATCCAAACAAGCATTAAAAATATGCAAGAGAAAGTCAGTTCTAATCCTTTCCCACCTTCTCCTGACTTCCAGACCCCTTTAGCTGAAGTTGCAGACAAGTTTGTTCATACTGACAAAAAGTTCGCAACTTGAAAGTTCATAAGAAAAATAATGTTGTAGTCGAATACTGTTTTCCCCACTGAATTAAAAAAAAAGTACACTATCTAGTCCAAGAATCCAGTAAAGGCCACAATTCGTTCATTCTCCTCCCAGGAATGTCTGTTCTTGGGCAGACAGCTTCCTATATTGTATACAAATTGGGCATTTAGGTTTAACAGAAAACATATGGCTGCACACTGTTCTAGAAGGTTTAGCGTTTCCTATTTAACATTTTCTAGAGGTAATGGCTAAATAATTAAATTGTGGTTTTTTCCTCCAAAAATAAAACCCCTTAAATTATTTTATGTTGTATTTCTTTTAAAAATGCTACAAAAACAAAAGAATAACCAATTTTTTAAAAATTCAAACAATCAGCCATATTTATCTTAATAAATATTTAAAAAGTAATTGAAAAAATATTTTATTCTAGAGATACTTCTTTAAGTCTAACTCTACATTAGGCAATATGCCTTGCCAATAATTTAGCCATAGCAGGTGACAGCACTTCGTCAGGGCTGCTGATCTTGAAAAAGCTAAACATGACTGAATCTGATTGGTAGAGGGATTGGGGGGGGCAGGAAACCTTACAAATGTAGGCTAGATTGAGACATTAAAAGAAAAATCTCAGAAATTATGAATGGCAAACTACTTCCAAAATGTTACCAAAAAAACATAGGGACATATCCGTGTAGATTTAAGAAAGACTATTTTTTCAGCAGGGTTATTGATTATATATTCCAGAATTCATTTTCACAATTTCATTTCCATTATAAACTGACTTTTCCATGCTTTTAAATTCCACAGATAAGGTTCAAAGGGACTGATTAACAAAATCACTATGTGGGAAGTGGAATATGGAAGAGAAAGGACTTATCATACAATATGACCTTTTCAAATAATGTTCCAATTCTTAATAAATATTGGTTTACAACGATCATTGTTCCTTAAGGATATAAACATGATATTAAACTGTATATCCAAATGTGGATTCTATCATTATAGGCTGAATTATCAACATATTGTCTTTAAAGAAGACAATTATTCAACAGTATAAAAAAAGTCATTCTGGATATGTACTGACTTTGGGAATGAATAAGAATATTGCTTTGTGTGCCATGTTTCAGCAATTTATATCAAAATTAAGCTAAATGGTGCCTTTTGTATACAATATAATATTTTTCTTTTGCATGCATTTTTTAATCCATTGGAATTGTTATTTCCTGAAATATTTTCCAATTTGGCAGAAAGCAAATTATAATAATGCTTATCCTTAAAGCAGTCACTGAGAAATAATTTATTCAAAGCAATTCTTCTCAGTTAAATTTGCCTCTTCTTTTTTCATACATGCCTTATTATCCACAATGGTTTTAGATGGATTTTTTAAAAATACATTTGAATGACTAAGCACCTGTAAATGTCCTGAAAATATATTATCATTTTCTTTTTTGTTCTGCACACCAAATGGATTACTCCCAGCAATATAAATTGCAGCTGTGAGGTCTCCAGTCAGGATGGGGACCATAACAGAGAGCAATGTGTTATGTATTTTTTAAAGAAAATACGGTCATAAATCAGAAGAAAAACAAGGTTAAAATACAAAAAAGCCAGCATGTAGACCCAGATTAACAGCTGAAACTAGCATGTCCAGACATATTATACCTGAGGATATAGAAACAATCCTATCACCTGGTATGCTAACAATGCTGTCAGGAACAGCCAGTGACCTTGAATTACACTGACAAGGAAACTAAAGTTAACTAGCAATTGAACCTAATGACACACCAGAGAGATCTTCATAAATTGAGTTATTACGCAGCTAGTCTAGACAGGAGAAGGTGGGGGAAGAATTGGGTGATTCCATTTTTAAAGATAAGCCAGCAGGACTGTGGTTTATAAATAACTTTTCAAAGCTATTTTGCTTCCTTCTTCAGTTTCAAGCCATAATTATAATCCTCAGTGGTCAGTTACAGAACAATCTCTAACCCAGATGATAGGAATCATTGAAGCTAAATGTCTAGTGATTTTTTAAAAAGGCTTCCTCTCTTTTTGTAGAACTTTTTGTATATAGGTGAGAAAAGAAAAGAATTTATATCAGTTATGGGTAAATGATATTTTTTATTCATTCATTGTACTTTTATACATCAGTTAATTCAGTATAGTTTGTATAGTGTAATTCAATACTCCTTTGTCCACTGTTCTATGTGTGTTCCCTTGTAAAATCACTTATTACATTTGTAATTTTATATACAAATAGATGCTACAATTAGTTCAGAGGCCAACTCTGTCTTCACATTGATCTTGGCAAGATTATTGCAAGGTCTGACCACATCAGTCATGGTAGCAGGAAAATTCTTGCATTTGCCAGACTTGATGAAATATGCCATCTACTTTACCCAAAACAATTGCGGCAGTTTGTAGGCAAAACAGTCACGAGCCTGATATCAGAAGGGAAACATCTAGAACTTTTTTTCCACCTTTTGTCAATTAAGTTCTGAACAAAGAAAACTCAAAGGGGAACCTCATAATAATTTTTTATTTAATTCTTTGGTGGTTGGATAATGGTGGTTTCCAGCCACTATAAAACAGTCCTATCATGATGACTATATCACCATCAATTAGGGATGCTTTGAATGGGGATCATAGTTATTCCACATTTCTTGAAGTTTCCATTGTTTTAGCAATAGCACTTAGACTTACTGTATATGCCACTTTATTATGCTTTACAGCCCTCTCTAAGGGTCAGCATATTGCCCCCAACAATCTGGATCCTCATTTTACTGACCTCAGAAGGATGGAAGGTTGTGTCAATCTTGAGCCAGTCAGGATTAAACTCCTGGCAATGGGCAGAATCAGCCTGCAGTACTGCATTCTAACCACTACAGCACAATATGTTATCTACTGCATATCATTACCATATAATTCTCACATTTTATATATATGAATATAGTGATAAGTAGAATTCATCTAATTGATGAAGGAAATTAGTCTGAGGGTGTTGTAGGTGATCGTCATAAATGTAAAATCCTCTAATCCATTTCCTTAAATAACAGCTCATTAATGAAGATGCTACTCATATCAAGCTCATTAAGTAACCTGTATATTAAGTGATTGAAATCATACCTCTCTATCTGCACCACTACCAGTACCACTGCCTGCAATACCCCACCACAAGAATCAATCATAATTATTTAGAGCACAATGGGCTGTGGAAAGGCCTTCTGCTGCACTGCACAGAATAGCACACTGTTGTTCAGAAACAGTTGCACAGCTGCTCCTTTTATATGTTACCAAATTTAAACATTATTGCTCAAATGCTCCTGGTGTTGTAAGAAT